TATTTTAGTTTGCATAATGAATTTTAATCTATGATTCGGTTTTAATAGCGTTTGAACCCAAATAGATAAACTTTTTATATTTTAACGTGTTTTTAGACATGGTAGGACAATGTTTTTTGTAAATAAAAATCACTTTTTTAATGATTTTCTACTAATAAAACGTGAACGTTATGACCAATAATTTATGTAATAATTTTTATAGACGAACTTCATGGACTCTAATTTATATTGGTGTTATGGCCAAAAAAGTGTTAAAAGTCTTATATAGGTAGTATTATATCAAGGTTTTACTGTATATAATATAAAATTCATATGAGAGTAAATTAATTTATTAAAGTAACTGAAAATTTTTGTCCATATACGAATAGTTAATTTACAAACTAGCAAAAATTTAAAAACTAGAACTTTGTAGAATTACTTAAAACCTCTTTAACTTTAATGTATAATATGAAGTATCATATTTCATTGAAAAAAATGAAACTATTAAAATTTTCTCGTTTGAAATTATTGCTGAACATCAATTAATTACCTGCATATAGTAAGGTTTTGAATAATATATATATATATCAGTTTTTTTTCAGTTCAAACCGATGACATAGATTTCTAATAGGTAATGAGACAATTATCTATGAACTATTTAATAATTTATACGTAGCAATCAAATGTAAGTATTCTCTGTAAAAACTCCTCTGTATTATATTCGATTTTAAAAAACAATAGATTTTGTGAAGAGTTATATATCTTGCTCAATGATCAAATCAATACCAAATTTCGTCAAATGTTTCGACTTAAGAAAGTTATTCGGCAATATTACATATATTAATACATTCACACATTCTGCCCTCTTTTTTCCCATTTATCCATACATATATTTATATATATTTGATTTCTGATTAATAATTTATATGTACGGCATGTACTACAGGATACGAATTCGAGGTTTTACTCCACCAACAACAAGTTATTACTATATTATACGAGTAACGCTCGAGATACTGGCCAAGTTTAACGATCTGTTTCGCCTTACTCGGAATGCCGCTGAATAAAACAAAATAAATTACAGAAGACATCGCATAATTGCAAATCGTATTATATCCGAAAACGATTTGACGCCTATTGTTCGTGTGTGTATATATACACACGAATTCGTGGTGATACTAACTACATGGTATTTTCAATGTTACTCGGATTACGAACAAGAGAAGAATGGAGAAAAATATCCATTATTGGGTATCTCAAAGTCTTTGAAATTTTATATGCGCGTTTCTGATAACGTGTAATCTATATTATAATATATGATTGCACTGTAGTTAGTGAACGTTCGTTATTACAGTATTTTGCAAGGCTCAGTGTTTTTGAGTTGCATTTTTTCTTCTTTCATCTTTTTTCCTCTTAATTTCGTGCACGATTTTATATATATATACACAAAAATACTCACACAAACACTGTCAGACAGGCCATGTATGCGAAGTTCTAATTTCATCCTAAGTTCAAGTCATATCGTTTTATCATGAAATTTGGCGCTTCTTGGTATAAACTAATTCTGTCTACAATATAGCTCGTAAACTTTGCAACCCTAATATAAATTTAATAGCCAATAGAAATCGTACAGTTTATTCCTTTAGAGCGTACTTCCCATATGCTGCGTTAAAACCGTTAAAACTAACAAGAAATTTTCCGAGACAATCAAATCGACCAGGTACAGTATACCTATGTTCGGCTAAAACCTTGTAATATCCGAAACCTAATCTAGACGCTTAAGTGAAATCAATGCCGCACCACTATTGATGTGAGATGACAAATAAAAATACAATGTAAATGTTATTACAAACAATTAGTCGGTAAACGTTCACTTCAAAGACGAGGTGTGATTTTAATAACAATATAAACTTACTCTTATATGGCAGCAAATCAATATGTCATTTTGAATTCAGTCACGGCAGAACCGATTGTGAAATACTGTTAAGAAATGTCAATTTATCAGAAAAACAGATTTTTGATTCGCCAAAACGAAAAACGAAAAATTATATCAATAATTCCTGTTTAGTGAAAATACATTCTGAAGTATTGTATTCTTAACGTTATGTTATTTATCAATTAATTATGTAACACTGATGGTAAATTAATAAATTATTCCACTATCATCCCAGTAAACTAATTCTAAATGCAAGTAAAAAAACGTAAAGAAGTTTTATGATAACAGTATATGAATAATAACAAATAAAAAATGTATTATTACAAATAAATAACAGAATAATATCTAACTTTAAACAAGCTTCATCCGAACAAGTTCATGCTATTTTAGAATTTGAAATGTACGTACTATATATTTTATCTGTATTATATTATTGTTTACGACTTTTTTTTAACTCATTCAAATGTTATTTCAAAAACTTCTATAACACATTTGTTTTATAGAAATGCATTAAAAATACTTATTTTTAACATATATATCATGGAAATTATTATGGTTTAAATTCGTTTAAATTTGCAATAAAAAGTTTTTTACACTTTAACTTTAAGTTTAAATGTTAAATATTGGATACATGGTTAATCTTAATTAGTAAATACTTCAAGATACGCCTGGCCGTTTTAAATTTTTTTTTAAATATATTTTAGGTGTAAAGTTTTGGAAGAGGTAATTGATGTTGAATATTCATAAATTATGCTAACTTTGGCGATACTTAATTCTGTATCTATTCTATTACCAATCAATTTAATAATGCATTAAACAATTTGAAAACTGACTTTGAACTAACGTTAAGTATATGGTATAGTATAGCATTTTCCATGTTTACATTGTTTTACCTCGAGTTTTACAAAAATTAGTTTTGATCTATGTTTTAATTTCATATTTTTTAATTGAAATAGGGTTTTAACTGATTAATGATTAAACACACATATTTAAATGGTTTTATATTTTCCCGTTGTATAATTTAGATGATCAACAGCTATATAGTCCAATGACCCATATACGCGATTGTATATTTTTTTAGTTAGTTAAATATACAGTGAAATTTCTTTAGAAATGAAAAATATAGAGAAATAAGAAATGTATGTTATATATTGTCAGATCGTGTTGGCTACCAATAAAATATTTATTTAGTGGACATCTGAGAGGAATTAAAAAGTATCAACTTTTAGGAGATGCTATATGGAAAATTATTATGTATGGATATATGAATAAAAAAATTTGTTATATATTTTAAAATAGGTATTATTTATTATATTAAATAAAAAAAAAAAAATTAGTCACTGTTTATAAATTTATAGAAGAAATAGGAATAAACTATTATATAATCCATTGTGATAAAATATATAATACGTATCTAAAATATAACTAAAATTATAGCTTTAAATTATGATTATTAAAGTCAATAAAAAAAAAAAGAATTAATGTAAGCCGGTGGTCAAGTAGAGCTGAGGCTTATTTTAATAAAAAAAAAAAAAATAAAAAAAATCCGTTTTTTTTTTAGCTTTACTAAATTAACTAAGTTTTAACTTATATAATAGGAATGATATTGAAATGGGAAAATAACAAAAAAGCAATAAAAAATAAATACATTTTTATTTTAAAAAAACTTTTCAATAGTATATATATATATATGAATAAATATACTTATTATTTTTTGTTTACATTTTATTGTGCCTCACTGAGAAACGTCGTTTAGAGACCTAGAGTTATTGCAGTAGTTATAAATTTAAAAAAAAAAGAATATAAAATTAACGAATCTTGAAAATTCTATTGAAATCCTTGATTCATACAACGATTAATTACATTAAATATGCAAACGGTTATTATTATTATGTTAATTTTATCAGCCGATTGTCCAGCTGTGTTTCGACAAAGAAAAATTGTTGGCACGTGATTAATAATTTCCGGGTTAGTTTTAGTGTCCACGTCCACTGTTAAGTGTGACCGTTACCCAGGAAGTCTATAATCCATGCTAGAGCCCTGCATGGGCTTGATCTCGGTCTTGCCTGTTGGTACACTAGGTGGGGCAGGGCTACATATTCCTTTTAAATGTACGGGTCTGAGTGGGCTTTGCTTTTTTAAATTAATTTTAGATGGACTCGGGTTTCAAAAATTAGAATAGTGTTGGGCTTTAATGGACCGGATACGGACTGGGTTGGGCCTGTATTCTGTAAATTATTTTAATATTTGTACTTGTGGACGACTAAAAAATAAAAAAGGAAGGCAAGAATGGTGAACTTGATTGTATTATTTGGATTATTTTTAAATCTATGAATTTAATACATGCACTACAAGCTAATAGCTATTAAGCATATACATTATAAAAATACTCGATCGTTATTGGGAGTTAGTCTTCGTAGTCGTTATATAAGGATATTTCTATAAATAATAATAAATTATTATTAACTATCAACTATAAATATCACTACCTAATATGTCTTTCATTATCGTTGTATGATAAGTCTGAAGAATAATAACAATTTTATATTTAACTATTACTATAATAATATAATTTGTCCATTAACGTCATTTTACTCTTTTGTTGTTTGACTATCGAACATTTTCTAATACATACAATATATAACTATAATAGATAACATTAACAAATGTACAAATTATTGTTCTATGACCTATATATATATATTGTATTTATTTTTATTTGCTATATTAAGACATGTTGAAAAGTTGAATAGTTTATAAACAATTACTATATATAAGGGCTTTCACCGATCCTGGTTGGGCTTTCATCGGGCCGGACTGGGCTAGGAATTGTGTTAGAATGGTAAGGGAATGGTAAGTTAAATAATTTTAACTTAAGAAGGGCTTGGGTTTCATAAATTAAAACAGTAGAGGGCTCTAATGAACCGGTTTTTCATATCAGATATGGACCGGGTTGGACTTGATAAAATCGGCCCATGCAGTTCCGGTCACTTTTGATAAGGTGTTTCGATCAGTAGAGGTTTCACTGTATATAATTATGTAAATACACGCGACATGAACACTATACGACTTGGTGCACACACAGGTACTGGTAACCGGGGCCTGAACGCGCTTCGCAACTCGGAAGTGGGCGGCGAGTACGCGGATCGCCTGAACCGGATTCGGGCCCTGTTGGACGGTAACAGCGAAACGATGACACGGCTGCTGCGGCCGGTCGAGCCGATGGCCGTGCTGTGCCACGGTGATTATTGCCGGAATAACATGATGTTCCGGTATGACGCGGACACCGGGCGTCCGGTGGACATGACCATGATCGACCCTGCGCAGGCGCGGTACGCGTCGCCCGCCATCGACCTGTCGTTCTTCTTGTACATGAACACGACGGACGCTGACCGGCTGGCGCACTGGGACGACTACGTGGCCGCCTATCTGGCTGGCGTCGCGGACGTCGCTGCCGACGGCTGCGCTGCGTTGTCGGTGGCCGAAGACGTGCACAACGAGATGCGCGAATACGTGATGTACGGTTACGCGTACTGTTCGTTCTTTCTACCCGCCATGATCAACACCAAGCCGCCAGACGTGGAGAATCTGGCTACGGTCACCGATGACGAGCTCATCGATAAGATCAACGAGTGCGGCGGCCCGGACGCCGATCGCCTGCTCGCTTCCATCGTCAAACACATGGTCGATCGCCGTTATCTATGATCCGAGACCTGGTTCCAAGCCGAGACCGCGAAGCGCAGTGCCGCGGTTGTGGTAGTGACCCGTCGTTCCTCTATCATTCCAATCGTCGGTCCTCGGTCAAACGGTGTATACAATTATTGTAATACGTTTCGAATACATACGTTATCGTGTAATACTATATTTCGGATGTAAACTATTATACACTGCATTGTTATTAATAAATTATAATTACCTAATGTATACAAAACCGTGTTCAAACGTCCGTTGTAATATATAACGTTCGTCAATCATTGATTTTAAATAAACGTGAAACTCTACGGTAGTTACAACTCATTTAGTGTATTTTTATTTCCTTTCAAACACCTATATCGCATGTTCCAAATTCTGAAGAAAAAAAAATTATTATAAAAATAAACATTTTTGATTTTAAAGAGACGATTAGTTTTATTTTAATTTTTGATGCAACAAACATTTATTGTTATAAATTTGCAACATCTGTTTTGTGCAGCATACATTTCTGGTAGGATGTTGAGTGCTTAAAGGACCATTCAACTAAAAAAATCAATAATTATTATATTATCATAATAAATAGAATATAGTCTAACTAGGATAATGATACAAATTAAATTTGCCTGTGCTGTAGGAACCGAGGTCACTACGACATAGCTAAAACTACTTTTGTAATATTTTCCTTAACCTATTTTCCTTGAGCGTTATCGAAAACAAAGATCTCTTAAGATACTTTTATTTATGGAGACGGGTTATTAGTGAATAAGTTAAATGGGTATATTAGATAGTAAGAATATTAATATTATTTTTGTTATTGGTTAATAGTTTAAACGGGTTTAGTTGTTTTTAGTATAAGTTATTTCGAAGATTAATATTATTTTTGTTTTTAAAGGACAACCAAAGCCTTGAGTCTTTTCCTTGTTCTAAAATTACTTTTATGCATTACGTCTAATTATCTATGTATAAATAGGGATGTAGTGCCAATAATTATTCAGATACAATGTAACCAGACTTATAAGTAGACCGATACTATGAAACTTATAACATTAACTTATCAGGCTACTATTACGTTGTGTTTCAGTTATATAATAAAATCACATTTATAACTTTAAAAGTGTTTTTTTTATTTAACTTCAAACTTCTACCAATGAACGTGTAATTATTGCAACAAAAGGTGACTTTTTCGTAAAAACGTTTTGAGTCAGTCTTTGATCAGACCGGCTCACTACAGTGCCTATTCGTTCTCTAATTACGGTAATTTTTGACATTTCACGTGACGTCACGGATTCGTTCGCCAAGGCGGCGGTCATATATATTCGTAATATACTGCAATATTTATTCATTTTTGGTTTAACATAAAATAACTGATAATGAACTTATTTTTTTTCGAATGAACTAATCAAATATATTTAACAGTACCTCATAATCTTTCCATACGTACAATTAAATCACATTTTGATTTAATCTTGTAAACAAAAATAACACTTATATAAATTATATTATGAAATTACTGCAATGATCGTGTTTAATATTGTTTTGACCATCGTTACTTTTTACATCGTTATTTTTTACGACTCGATTGGCTATTTAGTTTTAATTCGTATCTGTACCCATCCACTGTTGGTTCAAATTATACGGTTGAAGGGCCAATATATATAATTTATATTATAATATTGTATCGTGTAACTAAATCGTGCATTATAATTATAATACAATCAATAATAAAAAGGATCGCATTCACATTTCGCATTGATACTGTACTTACTAGTTACTGTTAAATACTAATACGATATAAAGGATATTCTTATCATTATTATAATCATAAAGATATTTATAACTTTTATATGACGATAAGACTTTATTGTTATGAAAAATAAACATTGATAAAATTATAAATATCAAAGCAGTACTCATATGAGTAATGAAAATTGACATTATATGACATTGGTGTATTATAATATAATTGTTATTATTTTATTAAATTGAAACAAAATTCAATATAATTATACGAATAGATTATGAGGTACTCTTAAATACATTTGGTTAGGTTATTCGAATAAATATAAGTTCATTGGCTATAACTCGTTTGCGCAAAAATGCACAACTCGATTGTGCACATATATTTTGTCTACCTGTGACGAAAGTCCTTAGTGCCGGAACTCGTTTGCTTATTATCGTTGATTATTATACTCCTCATTTATTAATAATAACACTCGCAGGACATTTTTTATTAGTGCATCTAAAATTCGAACATCCATTCAATAAAACACGGTATTCACTAAATTTATAGTCATCAATATCAAAACATCGTTTTCCTCACCGAGATTCAAAAGTATTTAGCGTTTTTACACCATATTAAAGTTTACGTTGTCAACACATTAATCACCACTGTACCGTTCATATCCATAGTCTATACCTATTGAAACTTACTAAAATTTGTTTGAAAAATCCAAATTTATATAATCTACAGTTTACATAGTTGATTATAAGATAACATTAAGGTAATATATTTGATAATTTGTAATGCAGTCTGTGACGATATATGTAAAAACGTGTCATGTGTTGAATGTGTCGTTGTGCGCAAACGAGTCTTGGATTTTCAGGTAAAAATTTATGTGCGCAAACGAGTTGCAGCGAAGTTCATTAGCAGTTACTTTACGTTAAACCAAAAACGGATAAATATTGCAGTATATTATATATGGTTGCCGCCGCCACGAACGAATCTGTGGCAAGCAAACGCGTAACTAACGAATGGACAGTGAGAAACGAATTTTAGTGATATCATTTTTTTCGTCATAGTGTGTTTTATAATTTAATCCTAAGAAAATTATTTAAGTTGGATTGTTCTTTAAAGTATATACCTAAACATTTACTTTGAACTGGTTCAAATTGATTAGTTTGAATGCAAGTGAAAAATAATTACAATTACAGTAGTCATATTTAAATTTATCATGACAAAACGAGTAATTTAGTGTATTTCGTTCCTTGAAATCATATGCAGTTATAACTATTATATGTAATTATAAATTGAAGGGAACGCATAGTTTGTGCGGATCGATAATGTTAAATTTTATTGATCTACAAAAATCTATACTGGACATTTCTAACACGAATGAGAACTGAAATTATTTAGAATATAGCAACACGATGACTTGCAGCTTTGTGCACAAAACACACCGATTGATGTTATAGATCCATTCACATATTAAATTTGATTGATATTACAAATTATTTTATCGAAAACAAAAATATTATTTAACGGTAAGTATTGCGACTTAATTTTTTTGTGAATTGCGTTGGTGTAAAACTTTTAAAAATAATTTTATTTTTTTTGTTTCAAATATGTGAGGTGTATTTACTAATAAAATCTACATAAAACAATGTATACATTAAAATAATTAAAATGTTTATAAAACATAATTTTACAGTGTTATTATTGTTAAAATAAAGTTTAAAAAATGAACTTTTACCTTTTAATCATTTAAAATTTTTTTCACTTTTGATATCATTTATAATGATACCAAATTTAAATTTGAATATAATAATGTGTATTAATACTTAAAATGTATTAAAAAAGTAATTACTATAAATCTAACCTGGAGGCTTCGAGACTTAAACGATACCGTGAATAAATTATGCATTGTTTATAGATGAAGTATTAACGAAAAAGCAATTAAAGATGATTACATTTTATTGGTATCAAGGTAATTGCATAGTTTTTGGTTTGATAAGATAATAAAAATATCTGTATAAATTAGTTAAATTAATAGTTAATCAATTTAAATTTGGTAATTGAAATTGAACAGATATCGTTGAGTTGATTCGAGTTATTTATGTATTTTTTTGTGCACAAATATTATAATTTTTTTATTTTGAGAAACATAAATTGAGAAAAAGTTTGAAACGTAATCATTAATATTAATTGCGTACTTAGGTATTAAATACAATACAATATACATGTATATTATCACAATATTGTCAAAATTTCACCAAAGTACCCAAAATTACATTAAAATATAATAATTTAAAACCATCACACATTAATATATTGGATAAAATGTTTATTTTAGTGTACGCACACAGTGTTATTTCTGTGCAATAATCAGCTTTTAAAACTCATAATATTATTAAATCGTGATCATATAACTTTTTTAATTAATTCACTCGGTATAGAAATGAAAAAAAAAAACATGAACATTGAGTACATTCGCTGGAGCCATTAGACAATATTTTTATATTTATAGGATTACAACTGTAGATGCTTGACGTAAATATTTTACCACGATGATATGTTATATGTTATTATAGCTCAAAATTGTTGTGAATACAATGTATTCAAGTCGTCATGATATTTTGAACTGTATATTTTGTGTATGTTATGTACATGGGTGTATATGTTATGTATTTAATCGGAATGAAGGATCCAAACTTTTCGAAAAGAAATATTCACTATAATGTTCAAGAGTCTAATATTTTTTTGCTGAGTTCATTGTATATATATTGTCATTGCTTTTTCAATGGTCTGGTAAGTGTACGAGTATGTAATATTTCATAAACGTACATTGAGAATTCGCACTGTTCTGAAAATACGAAATTCAAATAATTTTCATTTCACTTACAACATATGGACTCGGTCATGTTTATAATACGTCCAATATACAATAAAGACAACATAGACAATATAGTATATTATTGTAAGTTTGGTATAGATAGTCATCAACTTCAGTCTCAACCAAAAAACCTCGTTGGAACTTTAGGAGAAAGACGCTGACCTATTAAAATAATATTATATTAAATACATTTTTTGTTTATAAAGTTTATAAATATTTTAAGGACACGAAAAAGGAATGGTGCCAAATTTACCGATCATAATATATTATTTTGTCGGTTTTAATACGTATGACCGATTTACTTTAATAATAATAATAATTTTTATAGTAACAATAACATTTAGTACTTTACATTTTCGATAAATAGTTTACAATATTATAGCTACACTTATAGTACACTTGTATTACATAAATTATATTTTTAGTTTTTGTTATATGTACTAGTTATCATATTTATTATGTTATTTTTACCGTTTTACGCTGTATACTTATATTGTATATAATAAAACAATTTTGACGTTTATTATTTTTGGAAATGTAACTATAGTTTCAGTCTTTCAGGTAATAATAATTATTTTGTTTTAACCTTTATTTTAAATTAATAATTCATAGACAATATAGCAATACAATCATATACTCTATTTTATATAAAATTTGTTAAAAAGTAACAACTTAAACCTTTGATGTGCGATTATATAAAGATCAGAGAATTTT